ATTACATACGGACTGTCACTACGGTCTACATATGATATGCTTCACTTATCGTTGGGTACCTCACCATCACCACCACCACCATCATCACCACCATCACCACTACAATCATCATCACATTCATCATCACTACCACCCCCACAACCACTACCATTATCACCATAACTACTACTACTACCACCACCACCACCACCACCACCACCACCACCATCACCAGTACTATGGATGGGGATATAGTGAGGGGGGGGTGTACGGAGGGGGTGATGCAGGGCAAACATCCACACCTTGACCGGCACCAACACACACACACACACACACACACACACACACACACACACACACACACACACACACACACACACACACACACACACACACACACACACTAGTAAAAGATATTAATTATTTTTTCTCAACAGACATCACAGACAATTTATGATCTATATATACAACTTAAACGAATACCTTCCACTGATGACGGGGCTGAGGGGAATAATAAAAAAAAATACAGTTCTTGGTGTCCTCTTGTGGGAGACAGACAGACACACACACAGACAGACAGACAGACAGGCAGGCAGACCTTTGTCATTACGAGCTGTTTAGAAGGGTGCCGGGAATCACTGTATTACATTCAGAAGGGTGCCGGGAATCAGTGTGTTGCGTTCAGAAGTGTGCCAGGAATCAGTGTGTTGCGTTCAGAAGGGTGCCAGGAATCAGTGTGTTGCGTTCAGAAGTGTGCCAGGAATCAGTGTGTTGCGTTCAGAAGGGTGCCAGGAATCAGTGTGTTGCGTTCAGAAGTGTGCCGGGAATCAGTGTGTTGCGTTCAGAAGGGTGCCAGGAATCAGTGTGTTGCGTTCAGAAGTGTGCCGGGAATCAGTGTGTTGCGTTCAGAAGGGTGCCAGGAATCAGTGTGTTGCGTTCAGAAGTGTGCCAGGAATCAGTGTGTTGCGTTCAGAAGGGTGCCAGGAATCAGTGTGTTGCGCTGGAGTGAGGACAGTTGTTGTGTCATCCTCACTATCAGTGCTCCTCACTCCGCTACCTGTTTGCGCCTCACTGCCCCCGTGTGTGAGCCTCTGGTAACGAGTATCTGTGTGAGTCATGGAGTATCATAAACTCATTCCTAAACAAGGACTCGTGGAGCATGACATTTCTCCTTCACTCATAAACAGTGATGTTTCATTCACTGACCACTGGGTTCGTTGAGTCTGTTTACTAAGCTCATTTAAAAGCAACAAATTGTTCTCGTGTCACCTGCAATCGGTAGTGACGTCAGACAGCAACAACCTACCTGGAGGTGCGACACAGGTTATGAGTGAATGATTGACTGTTTAGCTCCGAGATGTAACAGTATGTTGCTCTCTCTACTTCACAGTATATATATATATATATATATATATATATATATATATATATATATATATATATATATATATATATATATATATATATATATATATATATATACTGTATATAACCTTCTCGTCAACACACTTTTGCTGCTACTCTAACAAGATCTTTTCATATGCAAATTAATGCAAATTGATGCAGATGAATTGAGTGTCGAGTCAATCTGTTTACTGTGCCAAAAGGGAAACAACAATTTTGGAGTAAGGAAAGTGTGGCAGTATTACCTATGTAGATGTATGCAAATGACTTGAGTGTTAAGTCAATTTGTTGTGCTCTTACAACACGTGACAAGTGTAGAATAAGAGAACTCTTTTGTTCTTTGTCTAAAATTAAATATTGTTAAAAATGAGACCTGAGCGAGTGAAGACCAGGTGATAGTGGCCATGTTGGGGAGCGGTTCCTCAGAGTTCCACCGACGGACGACAGCAAAAAACTTTACCATGGTGAAATAGTCTCCAGGAGTTAAGGTCTTAAAACAAGATAATCAAACGAAAAGAAGTTTCTAAATTATTTAAATATCTTATGTATTTATGTATATAAAACCATAAATAATAAAAACAATAGATTGGTTAAAAAAAAACCTTATAAACTTTCTCTCGTGACAAAGTTTCCGAGGAGGTAAAAAAAAAGCTAAACGCAAGACCATTTTTCAACCTAAGGACAATATTGAGTCTTGAGGGCAATAAAGTGCTATGTATTCAGGGACTTAAGAGCGACTGAATGGCTTTTGAGGAGGGTAATCAGAGCTTTATGTCCTTATATCCAATACCAGCGGCCTGGCCAATATATTAAATGGCTCAAGTCTCCTCCCCCTCTTCCTCCCCGACCCCTACCCTACTAAGAAATATTATATGCTGTAGTATTATTCTCAACGACTAGAAATTGCTATTAGTTTTTTTTTTTTCGTCTTATGGAAATATTATTACGGAGAGACGACGACACGAGGGTGAGGATGTTATTGAATACCTACATAAGGACGAGACTTGTTGACACCTACACTCTCGCCTGTGTCTTGACGATGCACTTGATCCCTGACACCTCCACTGACGTCAGGGTATACTTAAGTTATTATACTGAACCGGGAGACTTGATGTGTGTGTGTGTGTGTGTGTGTGTGTGTGTGTGTGTGTGTGTGTGTGTGTGTGTACGTCATCACAACAACAGAGGCCCCCCACAGTGTTTACATTATAAGACAAAGATGAACAGACTGACGCGGGAGTATCAACATGCAGACTCAACTCAAGCCAAGATATTTTACCCAAATTCTAATATATATTAATTACATGTACACTATATACACACACCTGCGAGCCAACTCTGATCCAGGCAGGTAAACAGGTGTATTACAAACACACCTGTACCAGAACACCTGTACCTCTCTCACTGTTACCTTACCTAGATACAGTTAATCCTTCGACAATAACATATACATATCAACATAAACTTTATATACCAGTACACTAAACAACATATAGACAGATATAGACAGATAGACATTAAAATAAACAGAATATATCAATGTAAACAATAATCTTACTTGTCACCGCCAGCCTCCTCCACCCACACCGTCACATCTCAACCAAAATGAATTCACAATACGAATGTCAAAGTGTGTTGGGGTGAATGTTACAGCACCGTCCGCTCCAGGGTGTCGGGGGATGATACTCTTATATGTAATAAAGTCAAGTGTAGATCCAGAACACCTGAGATTGATGATTCTTCACAGGTAATAACTGATATTAAACTTTACAGGTGGATTATTTAATATTATTTTTATGTTTCTCTAGTTTGAAGTGGCGTACTTTCTTAATTAATTCGTAGATATACAGGTAAAGGTGATTTTCTAGTTAATGTTTAATGCAAGTATGGTAGTTAATAATGAAATTGAGATACAGTGTTTATAATTATATAGATTACCTGAAGATTAGTCACCTCAGCTTAATTCACCTGAAGCGTTATAACCTCCCTAATGCTATCTGTGGGTGCTAGGATAGGATGGAATAGGTTAGGTTAGGTTAGGTTGAAATAAGCTGGGGTGTCTATTCTTCAGATTATCCTCACATATTAAACTATCGTCTCGTGGAATGAAGTAAATCGTAAATAATAATAAAAAAATACCCCCAAATTTCTCAATTTTCCATGAAGTTTAAACAAAATATAAATAAATAAATAAAATTAACCCCAACTAATTAAAAAAAAAGGTAAGAATTTGGTAAAGTAATAAAGCCTCAGGGGAAAGAAATTTACATTGTTTTATTAATACCGAGTAATATGTAGTGTTTTTTACTCGCTCGTCCGTAAGTTTAGTAAAGTAATCTAGACCACGTCGAGCATAATGAAGGTGTGTGTGTGTGTGTGTGTGTGTGTGTGTGTGTGTGTGTGTGTGTGTGTGTGTGTGTGTGTGTGTGTGTGTGTGTGTGTGTGTGTGTGTCTGTGTGTGTGTGTGTGTGTGTGTGTGTGTGTGTGTGTACGTGGCGGCAGCAATAACAACGACAGTCAGTGTTGGTCTAGGAGGTGACACCTTCCCCATTAATTAGTAGGTGCGAGAGACCGTCAAGCAATATGGACTCTCCTTCCCCCTCTCTCCCTCCCCCTCCACCCTCTCTCCCTCACCCTCTCTCCCTCACCCTTCCTCTCGGCTCTACTCAAGCAAGCAAACAAGCGGGCGGGCAGTTGGGTGGGCGGGTGGGTGGCTTCGTCCATCCTTCCGCCCACTCAACCATCCCCGCCCGCCTCCGCCCAATTGCATCTTTCCGCCTCGATGATTGGCGTAATTTGTCACCTGTGTGTGTGTGTATGTGTCAGTGTGTGTGTAGTTCTTGGTGCTAATGAAGTGAATATCATTTCGTGTGCGTGTGATACTCCGATGTGGGATATTCTCACACACACACACACACACACACACGCACACACACACACACACACACACACACACACACGGTTGAGAGTTACGGGGTAGAGGTTACGGTAATTGATATAAAAGAGTAGTAATGGCGGTGTTGTAATTTAGATTTACAATTTTACCACTGCCTAAAGTCTGCTGATTTTAGGGTAGGTTAGGTTAGGTTGGGTTAGGTTGGTTTAGTTTACGTTACGTTATGTTTAGTTAGGTTAAGTTAGGTTAGGTTAGGTTAGGTTAGGTTTGGTTAGGTTAGGTTAGGTTAGGTTAGGTTAGGTTAGGTTAGGTTAGGTTAGGTTAGTTATCAAGTCACAGTTTAAATAAATATCTATGATGTATACTGTGGTACTATTAGTGGTATCAAGACGCGTCACAGTTTTTAGCAGTGATAAGAGAGACAAGAAATAGTTTAGACGACAATACGAAAGTGATGGGAATTTGCTACACATTTTTTTTCTTCTCCTCGAATACCATGTTTATTACTGAAGATCCCGAGTGTTAGTTAGTTAGTTAGTTAGTTAGGTAGTTAGTTAGTTAGTTAGTTAGTTAGTTAGTTAGTTAGTTAGTTAGGTAGTTAGTTAGTTAGTTAGTTAGTTAGTTAGTTAGTTAGTTAGTTAGTTAGTTAGTTAGTTAGTTAGTTAATTATTTAGGTAGTTAGTTAGTTAGTTAGTTAGTTAGTTAGTTAGTTAGTTTTTAGTTAGTTTTTAGTTAGTTAGTTAGTTAGTTAGTTAGTTAGTTTTTAGTTAGTTATTAGGAGCAGGAACTTAATTTGAGTATCTAGAACAAATTACCTTAAATGATTATTGAATTTGATTAAGCTTCAGGTGACTGTTAATTAAGATTTATTTATTCATCAACAATAAATGTGATTCAGTGATAATTTGTTCATATTTGACAGTAATTGTAAGTTAATGAACTGAAAGCGTTTCCTCGGTCAACACGATATATTAATTATGGTGGAGGCGACCGGCACACTCACGGGGCGAAGGAGACCAACACAGGAACCAAACCGTAGTGGAATAACGAGAACATTTTCACTATAACACGAGTGACGTTTAGTGTAGTGAAGATCGTTGTAGTACGTAATATACTCCGCGAGACTGAGGTGACTTTTGACTTCACTTGATTTTCGTGTTTGTGTGTGAGGTGATGACTGACTGGTGTGGGGGGTGTGAGGTGATGATTGACTGGTGTGGGGAGTGTGAGGTGATGACTGACTGGTGTGGGGGTGTGAGGCGAGGAGCTGGATGCAGTGACTTTATCAACACAGGAGACGTGTGAGAACAACAAGACTGTCGAGTAAAGGAGAGTGTCTCTTAGTTCACTGTGTCATATATATACTATCTCGTGTTATTGTCGACCGGATTCTTAAAGAGTTATTATATACTCCTCTGCTATGAGTAGTTTTTAATCACAAATATAAACTGATAATAATAAATAAAGTAATCAGTATATGAGACCGAAGAAAAATTGGAAACTAAACTTGTCGAGCTTCCTCAGACCAATGTGACGAGCGTCACTCCATAGTAGCGAACCACTCTGTCACTCCATAGTAACGAACCACTCTGTCACTCCATAGTAACGAGCCACTCTGTCACCTCACTGTTTATCCTCAGTTTGCTCTACAGTATGTCTGTGAGTACAGGACCAAGTAACACCACTACAGTACACATATATCCTGGAGCTTCATGATGGTACACATTCATAACAACCACACGGCGCCTCCCTCCCTCACTACCAACACCCCGAGAGACACAAGAACCGGGACCCTGAAGGTGACCCAACATCCCCGAGGTTGTGTCGAGACGCTGCTGCCGCCGCTCTGGTTCTCGTGGCCTTCACCTTGAGCTCCGAAGCCACCACCAAGGTACCCTTCTCCGTTGTCCGTCCGCCCTTCGCCGTACTCCAGACGCTGGCGCTGACGCTGGCGACTCTGTTCCTTGTCGAACTCCACCCCGAGTCCCCCTGTCGCACCCTCGGCGCTACCCACGCCTCCTGAACCTCTTCCAGCCACGCCCTCCAGCTGTCTGTTCTGTCCGCCATCCCGCCCCAGCAGGTCCAGGGAGTTGACGGACTTGCTGTTGGGCGTGGTGGGGTAGACGTTGTAGTGGTGCTCCGTTGTCGACCTGACGGAGAGACACAGAGATAATGGGGTTACCTGACAGACACACAGGGAGATAATGGGGAAAATTTAACTGTGGGAGAGATAAGAAATAAAAAGAGTTTATTCCCTTGTGGTATATTTGCCCCACCATCGCCACTATTGGTAACAGGGGGGAGAAAAATGTGAAATCCTTTGACTGTGGTTGACGATAGAAATAAGTTATATGATGAGAGTGTAACAGAACAGGGCGGGGGTGGTGAGGGTGTTGGTGGTGGAAGGGTGGGGGTGTTGGTGTTGGGGGGATGGTGGTGGTGAGGGTGTTGGTGGTGGTGGTGGTAGGGATGTTAGTGGGGTGTTGATGGTGAGGGTAGGGTTTTTGGTGGTGGTGGTGGGTGTTTTTTTCCTTGGAAGGGGGAGGGTGTCGGCGCTCACTCCTCCCCACCCCCCACCCCCAGCCACCCCCCACCCATCCCCCACCCCTCGACACAGATGAAGTGGAGTATTTTTTTGCTCGGTGGGACAGATGTTGCAACACTTGTCAGGTGGAGAAGGACGCGGTGTTTTACTGATTAATTTAGTAGTTTGTTACCTCGCTGGGGACAGATAGACGCTTTGTGCAGGTGCTGTGACTTTTAACCCTTTAATAACGATGGATTAACTGATTTGAAGATGTCTCAACCCTTTGATGATGACGGATAAACCCTTTGATGACGATGGATTAACCCTTTGATGAAGATGGCTTAAATCATTAACCCTTTGATGACGATGGATTAACCCTTTGATGAAGATGGATTAAATAATTAACCCTTTGAGGAATATGGATTAACCCATAATTCGGCCTACTATTTCTTAACCTTTTGATGACAATGGATTAACCTTTTCAGGAATATGAATTATCTCTTTATCCTTCCACTGGATTTACCGATTAATATAAAAACTCATGGACGATATAGCAATCACTTCCGTCCGTCTGTCTGTTTTGTTTCCTAGTGTTTTTTAGGAGAACTTGAATGTTCGTAATTTACTCACATAATTTTATCGGTGTGTGTGTGTGTG